ATTTATCGGTTTTCTAAATGCACATCATAATTGACTAAAATAATACCATTCTCTATCAATCCAGCAAATGACATTACCGTTGCTCTTCATACGGGATTTTACACGCCACTTTACTAGAGCAGCCGGAACAGCATTGACGATGGGTCATTGTCTTTCCCCGGCGTGGGGGGAAACTTTCGGAGAGTAAAATACACACATTAGCCGCATCACTCCCATTAGTACCGGTCAGCTTTCGGCTAAAATACAAACTAGATATACACATTAGCCGAATAAAAATATTTTCAGACGGCCGTTAACGCTCAATTACGGTAAGCGATCATCCAGCATACGTCATACCCACGTCTGTCATCTACATGGCCGAGGGGGGCGTAAACACATCTCCAACCCCACTCGCCAATGGTCATTCATACCGTCATCACATTACAACTGTCCGTAGGCGCTAATAAGGGACCTATGCCTTCCTTGTAGCCAGCATTGATTGGTAGAAGCATAGTCGGTAGTGGGATCGCGACTCATCGTGCAAGATCGGGGATATAAAAAAGCCTGCACGAGAGCCACGGGGCTCTCTTGTGTTTACCCTCGTCTGTAGCTAGTTTTAGTGTGTAGTGCGCAACATTTAGTTTAGCCTGTGTGATTTGTACGTGTTTTAGTGAGTATATAATATACGGTGAAACGGCAGTTTGTAAACTACATCAGTCTACTCTCATTTTATTTCTGTTTTACACACAATTACACGGCGCACATAGCACGCAAGCTACAGCGCCCAGTCGCCTGGCAGCAGAAAGAGATCCAACGACTACACTATAACGCATGATCACTTTCCCGTAAGTTAGGCGGTTTCAAGTTGTGTTAATATTTATGAGATGCTCTTAGGCAGGCTTTATCATTAAAAAAATATTTGTGGAATATTTGACGCATGTAAAAATGCATGACATCAGTGCTTTGCGGTCACGGATTGAAGTGGCAAGAGCAAACTGCTTATATGTTCGCACGTGCTAGCATTTGAAAATGTCGTCGGTGATGTTTGACTCATACAATTTTCCTTTTATTTCCAGTGACTTTACGTACATTTACAACTGGATGTATGGCAACTGTTACACTTTCAACAGTGGTTGGCATCATCAGAAACTGAGAGAGAGTTTCCAACCCGGGTCTCTATATGGTGATTAGTATACTAACTATCATAATACGGCACAGGGGAGTTACATCACCATAGTTCGTAACATAATAATCTATAATAGCGCACAGCAAATTATACATTTCCACTGCATCGCAAATCATGTATTGTAGTTATTTACTGGATATAAAATAGAGTTAGCGCAGACATGGCTTCGCCTGTCACTCAGGCTAACGCTTCATTAGGAGTGTTCTCAACTTTTATATCATTAATGATTAATGATTAATGATTGATAATCCTAACCCTAACCCTAACCATAGACATTAAAGTTGGGAACACTCCTAATGGAGTATCACCCGTCACTCAAGTAATAACGGTAAGTGTCGTAAAAGTGTGTGTGTGGGGGGGGGGCACAAGACTGGTTGGAAATTATGTTTGAAATAAATGCTTTAACCACAACGTCGCCCCTATTTAACCACAACGTCGTCCTTATTTAACCACAACGTCTCCGTTTTTAACGGCCTCGCCTTTATTTAACAATGTCACCTATTTAACAACGACGTTGTGACTTAGTGAACCGTCCCTTTGCGTCTCGAATCAGTTTACAGTGGGGTACAGTGTGAATCCTTAGCTTACCTTGCTCCACAGGTCTGCGTTCCACCGTACGAGCAGAGCAGAAGCATGTCTTCAATCTGATGCCCCACCCTCTCTCGCTCCGCCGCGTTCGCCGCCATCACTTTACTAGAGTAGCCAAGTCTCGTCTCCAGTTCGCTGACCAAGTTTCGCTTGCGCTTCTCGTTCGCTCGTGTAGCATCCGCGCTGCCGCCCTCCGTGCGATTCTGGGGATCACGGCCACCGCCAGGTGGCGCGCCGTTTATCGCGCCGCACATCAGGTCGAAGTAGCCGCGCGCGTTCCCGACCGAGCACCGCATCGGGTTCTGGTTGCAGACGGTCACCGCGGGGAAGGTCCGCCGCGACTCCGAGTCGATGTCGATCGTCGTGGCAACGGCGTGCCGGTTCGCGACGAACGCTCGGACGGTGTAGAAGAGCTGACAGGCGAGTATGCCCGCGCAGCCGATGATTAGCAGCAGCCAGACTATCCGGCGCGTGCCGCTCGCCGCCGGCGCCGACACGTTCCGAAGGCCGTGCATCGACGTGTCGCGCGAGAAGTCGACGAGCCGTCGCCGCGCCGATACACCGTCCGCCATCGCAGACCCGCGTTTTGATCACCGACGACGTTCGTGCCTGGGCGAGGCGCATCTTCACGCTGGTGTAGCGTGACATGTGGCGCCGTCTGTCGACGTGACATTGTTTTCACAGCGTGTTCGTGTTTGCGGAGGGTTGAATGCGGCTCATTAGCGCGATAAACATGTTACATGTTATGATAATAAATGGACTACGCCACGAATTTTCTATGGTAAAATTTGCACCATTTTTGCTGCCATTTTTTTACATTAAAAGTAAGAACAATCGGGACTAAACGTATCGTCAAATTTTTACCTGATAAGATTGTTTCTCAACTAGTTAAAAATCCAAAAAACCTGGACGATTTTCATATGAATGTTCCCAACATTAATTGCTTGCTATGGGCTATGTATGAGGCACGAGCGTATGTTCACATCGAACAATATAGTAAAACAGGAAGTATAATGCAGCAATTTAACCACAAAAAGTGAACACAATTACTTATATTTTAGAATTGCTACACAGCAGGGGTCGAAATTAGCGGTATCCCGATATCCGCGGGATAGTAGATTCTTGATTTGGATACCAGATTTCAATGCTTGGTATGCCGCCGGGATAGTAAAAAAAACACGTCAAAATCGGGATAGTGGTTGTTGAGTTATCAACTTTATACGGCAGCGCATCTAAGCGAGTGCGCGCGCTCTGAGTTATACACTAGCGTTACACAGCATATTTGCAAGCGCAAGCGTAAGCATGGCCGATGTTGATACATGAATGTGATGTGTATACATTAATTATATCAAGCGAACCAGACAATGCGTCTAGACAATACGTCTGAAGTGTACTGTGGAGGCGTATGTAAAATGAACGCGAGCAATGAGAATTTTGAAAGCAAACACGGAAAATTTGACAATTTTATGACATGGGGTGAATTTTCTCAGTTTCATCTTTCCTCATTTCCACATACACAAACAAACACACACACGCACGCACACACGCACACACACACACACACACACACAACACGCACACACAGAGACACACATATATACAAATACTACAACACACACACCACACACACACACACACACACACACACACACACACACACACGCGCGCACGCACAGACAGACACGCACGCGCGCGCGCACGCACGCACGCACACATACACACACACAAACACGCACGCACGCACGCACTAGAACACACACACGCAGCACACCACAACACGCACGCACGCAACACACACACACACGGCACGCACGCACACGCACACGGCACGCACCGCGCACGCACGCACACACACACACACATACTCAAACAAACACACACACGCACGCACGCACGCACGCACGCACGCACGCAAACACGCACGCACGCACGCACGCGCACGCGCACGCACACACACACGCGCGCGCACACGCATGCACACGCATATGTACATCTACTGATGTCAGCAATAGCTACACCTCGCTATAGACCTCTTGTGGGAAGATGCAGATAATCTCGTGCTTGTACGCCGTATAAGACATTATAGAGATGCTTGCTGCCTGTCACCTGGGAGTTCGCATGCACGCGCCTTCTGCTGAGAATTCAGAGTTATGCGTGTCACTGTCTCAACTAACTGCTGAAGCGTTTATAGACTGTCACATTCTACTGACAAGGCGCTATACTGCAATGGCGGCAGCCTAAACTTGGCACGAGAAATTCAGCTTACATGACGATCTACACGTCTGGTGTCATCTACTGCTGGCGATCTACTACTGGTCTGGTGCTGAGAGTGGGTTTATCTAATAGATCCATCCGCTAGTTAGTTCTACGCGTGCCCCTGCGTGGCAAGGTGACAGCCACAGTAGCAATGGATAGATAGATGCAAGAGCGTATTAAGTATAACATTTATACTTATACTTATACTTGTACTTGTACTTATTCTCATACTTATATTTAGTATTAAGTATCATACTAATGCGCTCTTGATAGATTTATTTTATTTTACGACGGCTCATTGGTAAAAGTGATTACATAAACTTGCAACTTTCTCTCCGTCAGTTAAACAAAGTGGCATTTATCTGTCATATAGTCTATATATATATCACGAATTTAATGTTCATGTTTTGCCTGTTATATTTACAATAACGACCGAATAGGTAAGGAAATTCACAAATGCATATGATAAAATATCATGCCAAATAACCGAGCTTCGTAATGGCAGGTGTATCTCCGCTCAAATTACTGTCACTATTACACACATTAATAGCCATTAGCTATTACGCAACAACTATAGCGGTCACTGATAGCTGGTCTCGTAACTTTCATTGAACTATACGTACAATCGTTGCTCGTCGTGGTGCCAAAGAATTATCGACGTTAACGCGATTTGCCTAAAAGTCGCCGAAAGTCGCCTATACCTCGCCTAAACGTCTACCTGAATACAACTGCACACTGGCTACGTTATATAGCAGAGGTTTTTATTGCTTTGGCGACAATTACAGGACACCAATTATACATGTTCATTTCAAAATAAGAGTCGACTTGCTGACGAGCATGCGCGTTAAGCACTTCCTGGAAGCCAGTCAGGCAGGTACACGCGATCGACAACCACAAACTTATCAGTGTGTTAGACATGTTTATTAAGACAACGATAATATACGTAGCAGTAGACACCACCCAGATATCTCAGTACGATTTAAAACCACACAACCACAATAGAGAATAAATAACGAATGTAAATAAGACCACGTGTGCGTATATCTCGCTGAATCATTTTTTAAATCGACAACACTCAAACAACGTAATCGAAAATCTATATAGTTTTTTAAACAGACAACATTTGAACAACGTAACCGGAACGCTATATAGTTTTTAAACAGACAACATTTGGGCAACGTAACCGGAAGGCTATATAGTTTTTTAAACAGACAACATTTGGACAACGTAACCGGAAGGCTACAATCTTCCTTCAACTATTATTTTATTATCTTATTATTATTATTATTATTATTATTATTATTATTTATTCGTTTATTTCCCTTTCAATGTTATTACTTTTACATTTTTTAAATTTCAAATATGCTACTGCGACACTATTGGTAGAGTTCGTACGCAAGCATTCCGATGGTACATCGACTGAACAACGCATACATCTGACCGGCATTTTTTTCTTAACTTTGCACGGAATCCGTTGATCTTTCAGAGTAAGGACGCACCGTGCTTGGTGACACGGTCGGGGCACGCGACTTCGTTTCCACACACGTTCGTGATGACTTGCGTGTTACGGACTTCAAACAATGCACGGCGAAGTCAAATATTAATTCAATGAATTCGAAAGCTGTGAGAATGGATAGTCCCAGCACAGTCCAAGCGCTCCACCAAGGTTACCTATAAACCGTGCCACTGTGTAAGAAAACGCAAAAATTAATTAACAAACGAGGCATTAACTTGTAGCCACGCAACACGGAGCAGCTGCCGATATGAATTACACAACAAAATTCTAAAGAATTGTAATTTGCTACTGCAAGTTACTGTTTTGTCGCATGTGTCCATTAAACGCCAACAATTGCAGCATTTCGCCAACTATATATATATATATAATTATACATATATATATATATATATATATATGTTTATATATATATACATATACATATACGCAGCACGTGAATTATAATACATCAGGACGATCTCACCGTGACGAACGGATGTTGTTCCAAGTGCTGCACTGCAGTTGTACGGTAATATACTTGCACCTTCGCGATATTATTCCTGTACCAAATACAAATGGAAAAACCAGATGGGAGACCGGATACCAGAGAAGCGTCGCCTGAGAGGTGTTGATCCTGCCCGCTAAGCGCGGATTTGCGCGCAGTTCCGCGGCAAGGCGCACGCGACGCGGGAACGTCCTACGAAAGTATCCACGCGCGTGGCAGCTATTGCTCGTGCGCAAATCGAAAGGCCGGCGCACGGATCAATTGCTGCCAGCGAACAGTCTCGAATTTTAGCGGATCTAATCACTATCAAATATGCACCACGCCATCGCGCAGTCTAATAGCGATGTTTCCACCTGACGTCATAGATCAGGTCACGTGTATTGTGTTATGTGTTGTGGTTGGCAGAAGCGAAGCGTGCTGCTTGAAATTTACAGATGAATGACCAACTGTTCTGATAGAAAGCGCTGTTTATGTAGTGCAGGTACACGTGCGTGCTGCGTTGCGTGCGTGTGCACGTACACACGTGCGTGCGTGCGTGCATGCGTGCGTGTGTGCGTGCGTGCGGTGCGTGTGAACTTACACAGTGCGCGCGTCGTGCGTGCGTGCGTGCATGCGTGCGTGTGTGCGTGCGTGCGTGCGTGGGCACGTCACTGTGCGTTGCATGGTGCGTGGGCACGTACACGTGCGTTCATGCGTGCGTGGGCACGTACGTGCTGCTCGTGCGTGCATGATGAGTCGTGCGTGCGTGTGCACGTACACGTGCGTGCATGAGTGTGTGCGTGCGTGTGCACGTACACGTGCGTGCGTGCGTCCTTCCGTGGGTGTGCACGTACACGTGCGTGCATGCGTGCGTGCGCACGTGTGCATGTGCACGTATGCGTGCGTGCGTGCGTGTGCACGTACACGCGCATGCATGAGTGTGTGCGTGAGTGTGCACGTACACGTGCGTGCGTGCGTGCGTGTGTACGTACAGGTGCGTGCGTGCGTGGCGTGTGAACTTACACGAGCGTGCATGCGTGCGTGGTCGTGTGTGAGCACGTACGCGTGCGTGCGTGCGTGCGTGCGGCGTGTGGTGCGCGCGTGTGCAGGTACAGTTGTGGTGCGTTGCGTGCGTGCGTGCGTGCGTGCGTGTGTGCGTGTGCAGGTACACGTGTGTGCATGTGTGCGTCATGCATGCGTACGTGCGTGTGTGAGCAGGTACACGTGCGTGCGTGCGTGCATGAATGTGCACGTAGACGTGCGTGCGTGCGTGCGTGTGGAACGTACATGTGGCGTGCGTGCGTGTGCACGTGCACGTGCGTGCATGCGTGGCTTGCGTGTGCACGTACACGTGCGTGCATGGTGTGTGTGTGTGTGCACCGTACACGCGCGAGCGTGCGTGCGTGCGTGTGTACGTACACGTGCGTGCGTGCGTGCGTGCGTGCGTGTGCTTGTATCGAACAATATCACGCATCTGCTTGCTGCCAACCGTTAAACTCCGCATGTGCGCATATGACGTAAATGTTTATAAACATGAAACATCACTATTGCATGAAGAACTGCACCGTCAATCACGCGAAACGCAAGAGAAATTCAACGACGGCGAAATATACAGCTGTGTTACACACACGCAGCTAGGGCCTGCATAGCTCCCAAATTCCATTGGTTGATACAAATCACGTACCTCAAACTCCTGTTTTATGGTGCATTGTGACCCTAACCCTAACCCTAACCCTATAAACCAAAAAAAATCATTTGTTGTTATTAAACTGTTGTAAATAAATCATGTAAATATGAATAAACATAGAATAATACAGAAAACAGGAAAATAATGAAAAAACAGATGGGATTCGATCCAACGACATTTCAGCCGTGTCCTCTCTGCTCTAGGCGTTCAGCTATTGAGGCATTTGGTTTTTGTGTTATGGATGTGCCTTTACAACACTGTTTGCGTCATTGAGGAGTTTGAGGCACGTGATATGTATCAACCAATGGGATTTCGGAGGGCCACGTCACCGAGTAAACATCGTGAGTGGCATGCGGTGGACGTAGTCATTGAGGTAATTAGGGTTATTTCAGTTTTATTAGAGTTTTTCGTGCGCTTTTAAATTCCAAAAATTTTCAACGATGCTACGATGACATGCTTACCAGCAAACGCTGTGTCAAGTCAGTCACTGTTACCCACGAATTCAGATTAGACGAATTCCCAGTGAATTCACATATGTAATTCCCTGTTTTGTATTAAATTGCCAGTAGGGGGGAGCATGCCGCTGCATATATACAAGGACGGGGCGTCCGGGGGGCAAATTTGCGATTCCCAAACGGTATAGCTATGGAAGAAAAATTTGAGCAACGTGATTGGCTAGAAAATGTTTAGGACACGCCCACTATCGCACGCACACCATGGCGTCGCGCATTTTGCACAGCTAGGGGCTTATTTATTTTATTTCTTATTATTTTTGGCTAATTTTGTTTTATTTTAGAATTAGGGTTAGGGTCAGGGTTAGGGTTAGGGTTAGGGTTAGGGTTAGGATTCGGGTTAGGGTTATGGTTAAGGTTAGGGTTAAGGTTAGCGTTAGGGTTAACTGATTTTTATATCTACGAATTTAGTATCTGCCGCAGTGGGTCATCGCCAGAGCGTTCGCTTCGTGATCGTAAGTTACCGCGAACGCCATATGGTGTTTTTATTTTCCTCTGCGTTATGTATTTCTTTGTATTTTATTTGTTTTTGCATTTATTTGTTCTGTAACATTTGTTTTATGTTCTGAATTAAATCTTATTTCTTTATAATATTAGCTTATAATTTAATACATAGCTTTGTTGACTAATAATGCGTGTCCTAAAAATTTTCTAGCCAATCACGTTGCTCCAATTTTTCTTCCAAAGCTATACGGTTTGGGAATCGCAAATTCGCGTCCGGGGGCACCACTAGTCTAGCGAGTGGAAGGTTGGGTCACGATATGAATTGCGACTTTTATAAAAATTAGTAAAGTATTCTTTTTTTAGAAGAGTGATAAATAGAGAGAGAGAGAGAGCGAGAGAGAGAGAGAGAGAAAGAAAGAAAGAGAGAGAGAGAGAGAGAGAGAGAGAGAAACATAGAGGGAGAGAGGAAAAGAGACAAACAGACAGGCAGATAAATAGATAGATATATAGATAGATAGATATAGATAGATAGATAGATAGATAGTAGTAGATAGATAGATAGATAGATAGATAGATAGATAGATAGATAGATAGATAGATAGATAGATAGAAAGATAGATAGATAGCTAGATAGATAGATAGATAGAGAGAGGGAGAAAGAGAGAAAGAGCGAGATAGAGAGTGCGTGTGCGTGCGCCTGTGTGCGTGGGCGTGTGCGTGAGTATGCATCTGTGTTCGTTATTGCGTATGCGCGCGTGTGATCATGCGCCTGCGTAAGTGCTGGTGCGTGTGCGTGTACCTTGCATGAGTGCGTGTGCGTGCAGTTACATCCGTGCGTGTGCATGTGTACGTAAGCGCAAACTTACGAAATAATGCTGTCGTAGTAGCCCGCGAGGGGGCGTGGTGCGTCATCTTCTCTATCCGCCCCCATTCTCAGCATTGCCATCACTTTATGATCGGCAGCGTAACGATCAGCAACAGAGCTCTACAACAACAACAACAACAACAACAACAACAACAACAACAACAACAACAACAACAACAACAACAACAACAACAACAAAATAGCTCGTCAAAAATCACAAATACATTTCAATTGTATGAGCATCGTACGACTTTATCGCAAGCCCAGCTTTTCGGCGAGAAAATCGGGAGCATAGCACAGCACATGGTGTTCGTGTTGATTTATTTAATCGTAGTCGAATAATTTCGTGACACGTGGGGGCCACTGTACGTGGACCTGATGCACTACACATCACTGCACACGTTAGGGAAACCCTCTGTAGCCGTTTCTACCTATACTCAATCATGAGATACCATGTCGCTGTGAAGCAGTCTAACGCCTCATCTTACCATGAAGGAATTCGTTGGCCACTGGGCCATCATGGTATTCGTATCGTAGTAAGTTGATCTGCATAAAGAAAGAATAGAACGCTATATTAGAAACATACACCAGATCTTTAACTAGGCCCTAACTAGACCGTTAACAGAAATTAACCAAATAAAATTACGAGTTTCCCATACGCGGTGTGTAGAGGTCCGGTCGAGAAAAGGTTAAGACTAATTTTGTTTCTGAGAGCGGGCCCCACTTAAACCGATTGCCTGCACACTTCAGAGAGTTACTGAACCGGCCTACGCCAACAGTAGCATAAAACAACCTTAGAATCATTCTCACGGGTTAACATTAGCAGCGCTAGAAAAACACGAAAGGTAAGGCCGCACGAAAACTGAAAAAAGGAAAGGACCAGCGGGATACTCGCATAGGCGAATATCCGAGTAGATATTCGAGTAGTACTTATTGTAGAATTATAATAGTAATTGTAGAATTAGTTCATTCATTCGTGAGAATCTTATTGCAGAATTATAATAGCAATTGTATAATTAGTTCATTTATTCGTGAGAATCTTATTGTAGAATTATAATAGTAATTGTAGAATTAGTTAATTCATTCGTGAGAATCTTATTGTAGAATTATAATAGTAATTGTAGAATTAGTTCATTCATTCGTGAGAATCTTATTGTAGAATTATAATAGTAATTGTAGAACTAGTTCATTCATTCGTGAGAATCTTATTGTAGAATTATAATAGTAATTGTAGAACTAGTTCATTCATTCGTGAGAATCTTATTGTAGAATTATAATAGTAATTGTAGAATTTGTTCATTCATTTGTGAGAATCTTATTGTAGAACTATAATAGTAACTGTAGTATTAGTTCATGATCCATTCGTGAATCTTATTGTAGAATTATAATATGTAATTGTAGAAGTTAGTTTATTCATTCGTGAAGAAATCTTAATTGTAGAATTGATATAGTATTGTAATACTTTACGTTCATTTAATTCGTGAGAATCTGATTGCAAATTATAGATAGCTAATTGTAAGAATTAGTTCTTCATTGTCATTCGTAACATAACAGAAAATCTCAAAATTTACTTACGTCGTAACGGAATTCAGTTTTAAGTTCAAAATTACCATCACAATGGCTGCAATGACTTAACGCAATTACTGGGACAAAACGGCACTTGCAGGGTCGCGTGGTAAGCAGCTATTTCTAATCTTCGCCCATGCACACTCCTGCTTCGACCGTCTCCGCAGAAAACACAAGACATCAGTCGATTTCTTATGACACGCTTTTGATGCTAAAAGTGCTTATGCGTCCGTTATGCACTTACGATGCGTGTATATACGCCTAGCATACGTGCGTGCGTGTGTCCGTACATGCGTGGCTGCGTACGTGTGGTGTGTGTATTTGTGTGCGTCTGTGCGCGTGCGCTGCGTACGTGCGTGTCTATTGTGTAAAAAAAAACAATTGATAAAATAATGCCGGGTCGAGTTTTAATTATATGAATAAATATTAATTTTAAAATTATTAGTTTAAAAAACTCGACAGTTGTAATACCCCGTTTCTGATGACAGCAACGAAAAGCTTATCAAATTTCGTGTCCGGACGTAATCTATCAGTGACGTCATCGTCCCCATAATACGCAACTACTGAATGAATGCAGTCGCACCGTATAAGGTGAAGGTCGTGGTCATTGAGAAAACGAAATTACGACTCGAGCTTTTAAAATTAATTAAAATAAAAAGATTAAATTAACATAAAATAAATTTATATATTAATTAGTTGCACGTATTTAATTTGTCAACATCGCTGAAAATCTCCGCCTGCTAGAGATAATGCCGAACGAGAGAAGTGACAAGTGTTAAAGTTACGTGAAGTGTTGAC